CCATCCCATCTCACCACCAGTGAAAGTTACAACAATTGTAATGATAAGAGTTCAGAGACTCTCTAATAATGGGATCCTATTACTATCCAGTTGGCCAGTGATCTGATTCTAGAATCCCTTTCAATGCATTCGATCCTTAGGGCCATTTTTGAAATGTGTTCTTTTCATCTGGGCAACTTCATTAATTTCCCAGAACTGCTGTAAAAAAATACCACAAACTTGGTGGCATAAGGCATCAGAAATAGAGTCCTGGATTCATCTGGAGACCATAAGTCTCAAATCAAGGTTAGTGGAGTTGGTTATGAGTGTTTCAAAGAAAAATCTATTCCATGCCTCTTTTTAATTCCTGGTGGTTTTCAGGGAATCTTTGGTATTCCTTGGCTTATGCATAAGTCATTCCAGTCTCTGCCTCTATGTCCACATGATATTATTCCCTTTGTATCCCAGTGGGCACATGACACTTTTCTTATGTATTTAGGTCTCAGAGTCCAATCTCCCCTCTTTGTGTAAGGACATCAGTCAGATTGGATTCAGACCCACTTTAATATAGTCTGATCTCATGTAGTTAGAGGCCTTATTTTGAAATAAGTTTACATTTACAAGTTAGAGGACTTTAACATATCTTTTTTTTGGGGGGGAAACTATTGAACCCATAACAATGTCCCAAAGATAAAGACAGACAAATCCTATGATGATCACCTGTTTGTAAAGAAAACACAGGAAAGTGAGGAGATGGAATGGTAACAGAAGAAGACAAAAATTTGCTGTGAATTTTTAAGTTACATATTAATTATTCAACCAAATATCTTATTTTATACTTAAAATCACAAAATGGCAATTTAGCTTTCAAATTTTTAAGAATAAAATATACAGATGCAATTCTCTTATTAGAAAAAGAAGAAAAATAATAAAAGTGATATAGTAAGATTTTAAAATTAGGAATGCTATTAACATATATGCATATACCTATATAAGATATATGTATATACATATGTATAAACATATACAAGATTTAGGTTATTTCCTTGTTGTTGTTCTTCTAAACATGACAAGTAATATGAGATCAATTTTATTTTCAATAATGAAAGTTGAAATTTTTACATGTAATGCTTAAAGTGATAACAAAAAAATTAATGTAAAAAAGGCTGTAGGTTATTTGCAAAGACTCCAAACACAATGCAACAGTTTTTCAGATCTAGAATAAACATCTAAATAAATCTTACATGGAAAATTGTGTACCATATGGAAAGTGATCCTGATGTTAGCATGACAAACGTTCTCCTCACACTTAATGTTAGTTTGCTTTTAAGCCTGTTAATCAGAACAGCCAAAGCTTGTGCTGTAATAAAATAAAGAAATAATTTTCTTCCAGAGGAGCAAAGATTGAGTTAGTATTCAGACCCAGAAGCTGAATACAGACACAAAGATGAACTTTCCAAATCAAGTCAGTCTCCAAGAAGACACACAGAAAGAGATTTTAAAAAACAATTCTAAATGTAATAACTCCATTCTTATAGATCAATAGCTCATTTTGAAAGAAGAAACAAAAAATGCATTACTTTTATGTAATTGGAAAAGTTAAGGATCAATGTGGCAAATATGCCATAAACACACTAATCAACATGTTATAATATCATCTCATTTATGCACATTCTGAGTTGTGTAAATACTCTTCCCCTAATTTTCTGTTACCCACAGAATCTCACCCTTGTTCTTTATCTTTTCATGTCTCCGAGTGTTAAAAGAGTGTCTCCATGGAAGCAATTAAGTCCAGTGGCTGAAAACAGCCACCCAGTGTTCTTACTCTCTGGCTTCATTCACCTAAACAGCCATTTTCAATTGAAGCAGGTAGTGTTTTATCTACTAAACTATTCCTACCTTCATCAAGGTTATGTTTCATTGGTGTGATGGACATAAATAAAAAGATAAATAAATAATTATCTTAAAATCCAGAATCTTCCACTTATTGTACAAACTTGAATAAATGAACCTACTTAGCTTCAGAATATTTTTACTTGTAAAATTAGGTCATAATATTGCTTAAAAATTGGCGTATATATATTCAATATATACATATATATTCATATATATATATACATATGTGTATACACACACATTTCTATATATACAGTCTTTGTTTGTTTGTCTATTTATTGGTACATGAGATTAAACTCAGGGGCACTCTGAGCCACATCCCCAGCCTCTTTTTTTTATTTTACTTAGAGACAGTGTTTCACTGAGTTGCTTATCTCCTCGCTATTGCTGGGGCTTGGCTTTGAACTTATGATCCTCCTGCCTCAGCCTCCAGAGCTGCTGGTATTACAGTACATTCTTTGTTGAGATAAAAATTAGTCTCTATCAAAAAGGAAACATAAATCAGAATTAGACTGGACAAGGAGACTTATGTAGCTCATTACATAGATAGAAATGAAACTCATGGAACTAAACATGTACTTTACTCAGATTTTTTATGGAACATGTCATGTTCTTTATCATAAGTTGCAGTTTCTTTATCTTTTCCTGAAAGTTAATGGAAAGATGATAGATTCTTTAAATATCAAATTACCTTATGAAAAGGCCATCATTTAGTCAACTCTAAAAGTTAGAAATCATTGTTTTTTTAAGTTTTGCATTATAACTATGATATGACATGAAGTTAGTTTAAAATTTTTTCATCTTTTAAGTCACTCAGCCTATGGGGGGAAAAAAACTCTGAGCTTTTTCTTTATTTGCTCTTCTAATCAATCTGAAACCTCTTACAGGAGGGAAAACAGTTGTTGTGGTACCAGCTTAATTCATGCTGCTATAAGAGACAGCAGTTTTCTGACTCTAAATATAAGGCAAAGTTTTGATTCTCCCTCATTATCTCAGAAACCTCTGGTTAAGTTAAAGAGAGATCATCCTTGCAGACACAGTGCCTAGTACATAGCAAATGCTCAATAAAAGTTAACTACTATTATCTGATTCCTTTCTCTATTCTCACTGGGTTTTCCATGACCTAGAATCTTACTACCTTTGCCTTATGATACCTTTACAATAGCTACCAGTAGGTTTTTCCTTCCCGGATATGACCTTTTCTCCTATTCCGTTCAATTGTCATCAAATTAAGTGCCCCGAGGAATAACTGGATCACTAGGATTTCATGACTTTCATGAGTTCACACTTTAATTATTCAATACCCACCACTCTGCTCCTTTCTAATTTAGTTCCTCCTATGGTGTGTCAAAATGAACTCTGTATTCCAGCTTAATCAGCTTATTTGCTGTTCTTTGAAGAATCTCAACATTTCCTTCTTACATGAAATGCCCCACTCACTGCTTTCCACCAGCCCAAAGACATGTCCACATTCCCCATCCTCCAGATGTCTCCTTCTCCTAATCCTCCCGGTTGAGAACACTTCCTCCCTTCTCTTGTCTTTTGGTTACTTTTCTCATGATCCCTATCACTTACTACTTTCTAATATTACCATTTATGTACCTGCCTTATCTCTCTTCATAGAATATAGGTCCTTGAACTAAGAATCCATATCTGGTACATATTTTTATTCCCAAACATTCTAGACAGAATAAATATTTATTGACTAAATTAATAAATTGACCAAATCTGTCAGAATACAAAGTGAGAAGTTTAAGCATCAAATATCCCCGTTTTTTTTTCTTACCAGGGAGGTGCTGACTTAAATTAGGATATAATTTCTGGAGAACAAAGGAGATTTAACCCTTCTTCAAATTCCTCCTTATCTCCAGTATTCTACCAGCAGAAAATACTGGAAGTTGATATTCCTATATTGTCTGATAATGGCTTTGTCACTTTAGGTCTAAGAGTTACGCACTTGCTAACAAAGCTGTGTGTTAAAGAAACAAGAAATGGCAAAACATACTCAGAATTGTGGAGAAGATACATTTTTTGTCTACGCTGAGCTTCCAAAAGAGATGGTTCTGTGCAGTATTTGGTGGGAATCTGATTTCCAAAGGAATGTATTATAGTTTACCTAACATGAGACAGGATACAAGCACATTCTAAAAACCTTCTAGAGAGTAGAGTCAGAGGGTGTAGCTGAATCTGAAGATAATTTTCGGGGGCCTAAAGGAAGGCATCAGTGTATCAGGAAATAGGAGATTGAACTCAAGCAACTCATATTGCCTCACCTATGCAAATTCACACTCATTGCTGAGCCAAACCAGGTCTGAGCAGTTACCCAGTATCCTGGGAAAATCCAGAGAAGTCAAGGAAATAATTAGGAAGTCAGGAAGAGATAATTACTGGAATAGACTCAAAAGGGAAACAACCCAAGTTAAAGCAGGAGAAACAATGATAATTGCAAAAAGGTGAGTGAATGAATGAACAAGATCCACATGACTTTGTGTATTGCCCTTCCCACACATAATGACCATCAGTATGCCTTCAGGAATTCTTATAATTATGACATATTATTCATGTTACCTAGAAATCTGACCTGACACTTTGGGTGATTCATTTTTATTCTTAAGTAGTGGTGGCAACAAACCCTCTACTTGATTGTAAAATGTAATGCTGAAGAAAGTGCCAAATCACTTAAGAGGTGTCTCTCATGAACCATAGGTCATCTTTCCTCGAACAATGAGGATGTGAGATCTCTAGTCAGTACTGTGTTGGAGTTGCTTCTTACAAGCTCACCAGAGCCCACTGTGCACATCTCTTCCCAGAGCCATGTTCAGTGATCGTATGTAATTATGACTTATTTAACATTACAAGCTAGAATTTTTCCCTTGTCTGGAGAGCTGGTGGTTAAATATTTCTAGCATAGCAACAGGTCTTCCTTGGTCTTTTCTTCCAAACATTCTCTTTTGTAGTTTAATTCCACTCTTCATGAGATTTGGAGAAAGCCCATCAGGGCCATTCATCATCCGAAGTTCAAGGATTGTGCCAATGTTTTTGTTTCTAGATGATTTTAAAGTTTTCAATCTTGCAGTTGCCAAGGGACTCCTGAATTTCAAGCAAAGACAGTGAGAACAACTTACCTCAACTCTTCATTTTGCTACCTGGGCTTTTAAAACTCCAAGTATTCCTGTGGTTCCTCAATCTATCCCATCAATTTCTTCTTAGTATCTCAAAATGATTCCAACAAAACCTATGAGATAGAAATGATCTCATTTCTTCTCTGATATGTCATTACTTAGGGTCTTCCTTCCAAATACCAAAATATGTTTCTCCTTCCTCGGGGACAGGAAGGCATCTATATGTGTTAGTAAGTATAAGCAACTTAGTATGTACCTGGCTATGAGAAAGTAAAAGAAGAAATGTTTTATGACACCCAAGAAGTCCAATTTATCTAAAAATCAACCATGTTATTTACATTTATAATAATGATTATGACTGATATTTTAATTAACCTGAGTTATAGCCCATTAATCATTTTCTCATTGAGATTATTTCTATTTGGTACACATATAAATCATATATTCATGTTGTTTCAACTATGAAAAAAATCTATCTTATTCCAAAGACCATTATTTATTTGACTTCAATCATTGTACATCTACATCACCTACAATTTTATGAGATATTTTCAAAGTTTAATATTATTTAAAATAAATAAGACCTTTTGATATGAATAAGTATTTGAACAGAAAATCAAAGAGAATGGAGGATCATTAAAGATATTGGCTCTTGTAATACCTGTAAAAATATTAGTTTGATGCATACTGATATGATAAAGAAATCCAGAAATTTTATTAGAATAATAAATACATAGAAATGAATTGAAAAGAATGAGATTCACTCACTAACACTTTCTCTGAGTTTACATTAAAATGAAAACCTGGTGTTGTAATTTTGGTGTAATATTGGGGGTCTAGAAAATCCACTCTGATATTACAAAGGTCTCCAGGTTCACATTATTAAGTTGAGAAGTTTCCAGAAGAAGATTTTCCTCATCATTTATTCCCAGAAAACCAAGCACTATAGTAATTCAGACCAGGAATTAACTAGGATATGTTCTAGGCTGTCTAACTCCCTATCCCTCAGGCCATCATGAGTTAATCATGAACTAAGATGCCACTCCTCCGGCAGAATGAGAAAGGGCTCCCTGCCCTACCCAGACACCCAAGGACTCGGAGAGTGGTTGTGTTACATGACTGATCCATGTGAAAATGTGGGAAGGAAGTATTGCATCATTTTATTGTATTCTGGTGACTACATAGTTCATAAAACCTATGCATTCTACTGAATAAGCTGAAATTTCATCTTCCCATGCTGTCATTCCCACTGTCTTGCTAACTTTAAAGAACGTGATCTTGTAAATGTAACTATGTATTTAAATATAATTTTAAAATGTGAGTACATAAAGAGAAAGACTTAAGTTATTACCCTAAACTCCCAAGTCTCCAAAGGGTGTAACATAATGATTTGAACTTATTAGGATTTCTGTACCTGTTTTGGATTGAATGCAAAATATTTTTAAAAGGTTAGAATCATATTGATCAACTAAAAGCAGTTCCAAATTTAAGCATCTTTTCACTTAATGAAAACATAATATGCTTACAGAATGGGGTCTTCAGGAAATACTGTGAAACCATCAAGGAGCTGAAGTTACACAAAAGGTTTATCACCAGAGCCATGGCGCAGGGTATCACTGTCCCTGATGCTCCCTTGCCTGGAATTGTTCCGGATGAAACACAAACTCATCCACCCTGGGTGACTAAAGGTATTAAATGTGATGAAGAATATGGACAGGGTAAGCCATGATTAATTGCTTAGTGAGATGAAACTTCAATACAAAATATGCATGTATGTTAGTATTTAATGTTCATTATAAAAAATTATTGATAGTTTCACCTATAATACCACTGATTCAACTAGTATATGTTCTTTTACCTTACTACTAATTTTCACTCATGTCTCTCAATTTAATAACAGCAGTAATTCTAAAGAAATTAATCAGGTATAAATTTTACATTGTCCTACATTGTATCTAACATGAACAATTTTGATGAGATCTAATTACACGTCTGCTCCTATAGATCTGTATTTTCCTATAGATCTAGAGTCTCCTATAGATCTGTATTTTCCTTTTTCTTTTCAGAATTAAGAAAATATGTCCCTGTAAAATTAAAATGTCAGAAAGCATTAAACCCAGAAGTCTCACAAAGCTGAGAATGAGTACAGTATCAAAACTTGGCAAAAGTTTATAAGAAATCTGAAGGATGATTTGAGAATACAAATGGCAAAATGTGTTGCACCATTGGCTCCCTGAGAGAGAGAAGACCTTTCTATACCATTGTATTATTCAAATGGGAGAGGCTACGTTGTGGTAATAAGCCCTAAAATCTCATCAGCTTAATATATAAAGCTTTATTTTTGGTACACTCAGAGTTGGCTGTGACTTGGTAACTCTGGAGAGCAGCTCTCTTCCCAGTTGCAACACAGGCATGCAGGCTGTTTCTGTCTTGTGGCCCCAGAGTTGGGAGTTCTTGGTTTAAGGGTGGTTGTGTTGAGAAAAGAGAGAGCTGCTAATTGCATCTGGACTCCTCAATGCTGGGCTCACAACTGACAGGTGGACTGAAACACCGACCTTACAAATCCAAATAGTCCACATGATTTCCTTTATTTCACAGTCTACACATAATTAATTTGTGCCAATAAGACTATACTTACCAAAAGTCAATGAGAAGCACGGGCATGCCCCTCTGAGATGAGACCTGTAGGAGCCAAAGTGAGTTCCTTGATCTTCCTCTCCAACCGCTATAGTGACTGAAGTTCCAAACGGTAGGGCTAGAATAAAGAAGAGAAAGAAGAGAGGACCTGGAACCCAAAGTGGTTATTTGGAAGGGAGCTGTCTAGAGAACTAGTGGACCAAGAATGACTGAAGACAAGTGAGGAGGAAAGTATTCACTAAGCCCTGAGATGTGGGGGTTATTTCCACAACACAAACCAGACTATTGACACCTTAGTGAAGATGACAGTTTCCCAAATAAATTCTGTGAAGAAGGTTCTGGAGATCTAAGTTTCTTAGAATTCTGCTATTGTTGACAAATGGGCATCACAACTCCTGTGAGGGCCTGGTATGAACAGGGGTAGGCTGTGTGGTAGGAAGTGTACCTATCTAGTTTAGAAGCAGCAATACATTTCAAACTTAACAGCTAATTCTACTGGCAGGCCTGCTCTTATTCTTACTCATTGTCCTTGTTTTTCCTTCAGAATCTATGAAAACTCTCCTGAGGTTCTTTTTATGCCATGGACAACAGTTATTTTCATAATAAATCTGAGCGGCCACTTATTCCATAGGGAAAACTATACCCACTCAGTTCGTTTATTAAAGTAGGTCTTCTGATTGTGTGATCTGTCATATGGAAAAGAGTTTCAAGTATTTTTTAAATTGGACATGATGTAGATCACACCAATTGTTGACTCAGGATCTCTCACTCTGGGCATAAAGTCACTATTAATATTTGTACTATGTCTGCTTCTGATGTGTTTTTAAATATGCATGTGTAAAAAGGGTCTGGACCTCTTCAAAATGGGAAACAATTATTGACATATTCCTATCAAGAGCAAGACTCTAAAACTGTTTTGAATAGCTCTGCAAATTTTAGTTCAAATATGTCACACATAGTTTTAAATTACTCAAGGAGAGATGGATATCTTTGCCTCAGGGAGGGATGGACTGACTCCATGATTGGAAACAGCGGTGAGAGGAATCACGCATGTACTTGTACAATTTTACTTTGAGTATTGAATCTTTTGGTTTCAGTCAAGATGTATGAAGTCAGAGTTATGACCAAGAAGTCATTTTTGTCTTTCTGTATAACGAGTGAGACGGAACAGACAGCTAGAGCTAAGATTGATTAGTGAGAAAGGAAATGCCGAGTTAGCAAATGCTCTCCTTTAAAACCAATATCAGGAAGTAGAATGTTCAAGTGCTTATTTAAATTTATAGACCTATTAAAAAACAAGGACTTTTCAACACCGAAAGCTACATGAGTTTTAAAGGCATCGTTTATAGATGAATATAGAAAACTACAGTCATGTTGCAAAGTGATTAGCAACAAGATATTTCTTCCTTGTTTATGTTACTTTAAGGCTTACTTTTAAATATGTTACTTTAAGGCTTACTTTTAAATATGTTACTTTAAGGCTTTGTCTTTTAAACACACTAGCTTTTGTTATGCTTTAGAAAAAAATGACAAGTAGAATCTTCTCATTCAGAATCTTTTTCATTTCTCACATACAGGAAGAATTTCTTCCTTGTCCCTGGAACAATGAGTGTGTAAGAACTCATGTGAAGGACTTTAGCCAATCACATGAAGCCTGGTGTGGAATTTTCCATTGGTGGTCTCACAACAGAGTTCAAAGAATTCAGATTTTGAATCATTTAAATTTCAGATTTTCTGATTAGAAGTGCTAAATCTAGAATTTACATTGCCAGTGAACTAGGATGGACACTTCAGGTGAAAGACTAATAATGCATATTGCCTCCAGCCCAAGGAGAGAGGGAGGAAAGAGAAAGTTCCCTGAGGAAGATAGGAAGCAAAGAAAGGAGACTTCAACTTAATTCATAATTCCACAACAAATGAAAACATGTTTAAAAGGCTGATACATTAAAAAGCATGTATTAAAGTAACATAAATGGGAGAAAAATCTCACTGCTGATCACTTTATAGAATGATTCTGGCTTTTCTTATTCTTCTATAAAGAGATACCTTTAAGATCTATGTTGCTTTAGGTGATGCAAAGTTTTACAGTAATAATTGTAAATTGAACCCCATCTGTTTGTTTTTCACTGCTCTTGACCAAGAGTTACTTGTAGAAAAGAAAGGGAGAAAGGAGAAGGCCACGAGAGGAAGGACACTGGGCTGGAGGGAAGAAAAGATTGGGAAGATTTTACAAACCAAGGACAGTTGGAACAATGCTGTCATGATGTAATGACTAGTTTTATGAGGAGACCAAATTGTGGGTAAAGAGAATTTAAAATGTTGGGTTTATTTGTTGTGAGTGAAAGTCTTTTGGAGAGAATTCAATAAAGATTGAAGATTTTTCTCTCTTTCCTAGTTAGAGATGGTTTTTCTAAAAATAACCAACTACTGAAATGGGCCAATTTATAGTCTGACTTTTCATAAGGTATTTTAATTTTCAAGAAAAATATATTGAGTCAGACATCACTATGTTTTTCCAAGTCAACAGAAAAAAGCATCAGATAATGACAAATTTAACAATCATTTTTAATGAAAATTCTCAGAATAAGCCCCTGGAGTCGGGTAATGGTTTCATTTATAAGTAACATGGTATATGTCTAACAGGAGTTGAATGAGAGAGAGATGCTTTTTTTAATGAATGAGGAAGTCTGAAAGGGGATCTCTGTTGGCATTTGTTCACAAACTCAATGCTGTTTGGCCTAGCATCTCTGTTGATCTCCGACTTTGATGCTTGAAAATTATACACTGCTTTATAGTGGCAAAAGAAGAGAATGACATGGGGGCAGATTGACCTGACAAGGAAGCTGAGAAAATAACAACAAGCTTTTATGTCATTCAATATTGAAATTCAGTGCGTAGGGATATTCTACAGAGCGATATATTTGGGCTTTTTATAATTTCCCTGTGAGAATCCTCAATATTTATATATTGCCATTAAGCTGGTTAATAGGAGGTTGAAAGCAGAGTTATGGAATAAGGATGTCTCCGGACCCTGAGGCATAACTTATTCCATGTATCTACTCTCTTCCACAAATAAAAATCTTTTGCAAAATAGTATTGATATATAAGAATTTGGTTTACACTTGTCTCACTAAAAACTCAGGCATTTTAATTCTTAAAATGGAATATCTTTTGTATAGATACAGAGGAAAGTTGTAATATCAAGGACTTTATTGGCAATATAAAATAGCAATGTGTTTTATAGTCTCACCATCTCTAACCATGTCAAAAATTGAAAATTCTATAAACACAGGTTGAGCTTCATTTTGGTTATGAATCAGATCTCTTATTTTTGTACTTAGATGATGTTGGAGATCAGAAAAATTTAGAGGTTTCTATCCAGACAGAGACATAAACAGACAACATAAACTATCTTGCCTAACAGCTAAATGTATCTTCTAGCATGATTCAACAATGCTACTAATTATAGTTCCCAGAATCCTTAATTTTGTGCAGCATGATGTGTTCTCTCTGCACTGTTTTAGTATACTTGCTCCCATCTGCTCCTGTCCTATGGGCATGAACATTGTTTCAGCAGAGACATTGACATTCTGGGCCATAGCAAATAAATATTAATTACAAAGAATTATTTTTATCTTCCTTACTGTGTGAGATTTAGTCCATCTTTCATTTAGGGTTGGTTTCAGGCACCTTGATTCCTTCCATATACATTACTCTCAATGTTTTTCACCTGAGATTATCTGTTTCTTTTGAAGTTGAAGAGCTGGGAGTGCCCTCAATGGATAGATCTGGCATCAAAAGAAAGCTGAGGTTTTTCAGGTGGCTCATTGGGTGGAAAGAAAAAAGTACAACTGTGGAAAAAGGTATTTGATTACACAACATGCAAATGTTGTTATTAACTTGTAGAACAAGTTTGTTAAAACACACCCAAACCAAGATAAAGAACATCCAAATAACCTATTCTTCCTAATAGATTTAGCACATAAAATTTTCAATTTTCTTACAGAGAATATTAAAAAGCATGTTATTTTATGCTATATTGATAAAATTTAGAGATAGTAAGACTTGATATTACCTAAAGTTGTTAGAAATAAGAATAAATCTGATAGATGTATCTATCTCATATATTAACCTAACAAAATAAAATTTTCTAAAAAAGTACATTTTTTGTTTATAACTGTTACCAATAGTGAAGATAATAATAATTGCTCCTTCTATAGAATTTATTAAATGTCTTGTACTTAAACATTTTTTTAAAATTTTACAATAGCTCATTAAGTTTGCACAATATCCCTAATTTACCAACTTACAAATGAGGAAAGCATGTCCTGAGGTAACAATCCTTTGCCTAAGATCAAACTACTTAACTATTATAGCACTAGGAATATAGGAATAGAATTTAGGTTTTTCAGTATTTCAATGCTTATTTTTTAAACACTCTTAATTTTGGCTTCTCAACCCTTAAATGTGTCCTAATAGGGAACTGGGAAATATAGGTAATAAGGAACAGGTTAAAGAAAAGAAAAGAAAAAATATGTATAAATGCACACATATATTTATGTATATTATTTATGACAGAAAATATTGAAAACATTAAAATCTGAGAAGAATATCAATAAAGTAAAAATGTGTATGATAGGATGGCAAATAGAAGAACATTCAATGTACTAAAGACATCTGATCCATAGCAATAAGAAATAATATAAGTAATAAGCAGTATTTAAAGAGACAATGAGCCATAATTTGCCAAAACTCTTCCATGGACTAGAAAAAGAGGGAACACATTCGAGCTCATTTCATGAGGCCAGTGTAACCTTGATAGTAAGCCTGACAAGAGTACATGAAAGGAATACAGAGCAATCACTTCCCTGAGCATCTCATTTATCAAATGTGAATATTATTTATTTGAACTGATAGAAAAACTGATAGAAATCCTGAAGAAGCAAAAAAGATAAAATGAAAAATCTTAATATGATTTTTGAATGTTAAAAATTCAGTTATGTAAATGTGTATATGTATGTGTGTGTTATATATTTTTGTTTATGTATTCATATATTATTGATATTATATATATATATATTTGTTTTCATAAATATATATATTTTTGAAAGTATAATACATAATACTATTTTATGTTTATTTTAACCTGCCTTATGTCAACAGTGATTAATGAAAACAACTTGGAAGTAATTAATGAAAATAACGAAAGGCCGATTGAGCTCAAAGTCTTCCCAACAAAGCAACCCTATGTTCCTTATGCTTTAGCCATATCCTACATTACCAAGGTAAATACATTGTCCATTAAAGAAATAGGCCAGGAAAATGTGTTTTTTTTTTTTTTTTTTTAGTTTGCTTCTGTTGATTTATGTAGAAAAAATGCATGGAAATGTATGCAGATCTTTTTGGAATATAGGCAAGAATTTAATACTTACATACTGAATTAAGTACAATCTATTTAAATAATATTATAAAATTAATCCAAGCAACCCATGAAAATAATGGTAAGAAAAGTATGCTATTACCGCCATTTAATAAATATGAAAAAACCAAGCTTGATAGTAAAATTACACTGTAATACTGCTTTGAGGGATGTAATCCAGACTCATGATACCTTAAATATCCTGAGACAGCAGGTTGGTGAAATTTGGATGAAACATAACACCTTCTCCTCTAAAATAAATGTGGGTTTCATTTCTCTAAAGATTTTGAGGATATTTTAAGTTACCGCCCCTGTCTGGGGTTTTTCATTTCAGAATTGATATGTAAAAATGTATCCAAACATCATTAAATAATATGACTGGAGTAGGAGGATTTTCCACTATGACTTCTTCTTCAGATTCTTTGATGAGTCTTCACTTTTTTCATCTCGATAAGGACATCATCACCGAGCTACTTGTCCTGAGATATTAGCAGTTAATCATGTCTGCAGAATAAAGCCCTAGATCCTGTTGTAAAACACATTTTTCTCCAACATAGCTGTGGACCAGGTCAGAAAACTCTGCTTCCCTGCTGTTACTCTAAGCAGTGTTGCCAGGTAACTTGGCATTTGTCACAATATTGTTCTAACTATATTGATGTGGGGAGTCTTTCTCATGAAAAGTAGTAGTAGTTTCATGAGTCAGGTTGGGTCATTCTGTCTTTGTATGAGCTCATGCAGTAGATCTTGGAATATTGGAACAGTGATGTCTGGAGGCATTTGTAACCTCCAAATTCAAGAACACCTCTGTATATCATCTTGTAGAATCGTCTAGAATGAATATACATGACATTTGGTTTATAAGAAAAATATTAACAAGAACATGACAGAGAAGTCACTTGATCTTATTAGATACCCCCAATTTTGTCGCATATACCAACTCTGTAACTAGCCAATGATCACATATCACAGACATTTGCATTCACTTGAAAAAAAATGACAATTTGAGAAGACTATTCATGAATCATATTGGATTGAAGTTCACATGCAACTGCAACTAAACATTTCTTTTCTGATTTAATTTATATATTTTAATTCATTATATACTAGGAGATGGCTAAAATAAATCTTTTAATTATTTTGTTGAAGGACTGTGATTGTAGATTACAAATTATTTTTTGGCTCCATTGGGAGAGATTATATTCGGGCCATGTTGGTCACATAATCTTCCATAAAGAAAATAGTAATACTATATTTTCTAGTACTAAATACTTTTTCTCTTTCACATCTTAACATCGTTATCATAGGAAATATGGCATTAAGTATTAAATAAGCTCTTGGTATGTGCTAGGTACTATATTATCAGTAAGAATAATAAGAAGTGGGATAAAAAGAATTGGGTTTAGAGATGCAAGTAAACCTGTTTCTACAACTAGATACATTAAGAACTAAGTTTAAAAAGCAAAAAACTTTAAATAAGAAATATTTTCTCATAAGTTGGAGTTTTGAGGAGGCTACAAGTAGAACATATAACTATAAGGAAACACTCAGGCAGGAGTCTTTGTATGTTTTGTTCATGGATGTGGTCCCTGAAGCTTAATAGAGATAATTCATGGAACAAATACTGGATGAACATCTGAGCTACTCAAAATCATGCAAAGATCTAAATACTGTAGCCAATTTAAATAAGAACAGGGATAGAAACATAGCTCTTCTATTGTGTCAGGCCAAGTTCTAGGTGAATTATTCATACTAATGCATATACAGTGCATTATTCTCATTTCATAGACAAGCAAAGAGTAACTTTAAGCAATTGATCAAGGGCAGTGTCAGAAATGCAATTTGAACCCATGTGTTCTGGCTTTGGCTCTGGGCTGTTAATGTGCTATGCTGCCTTTGTGAGATCTTAGAAATTTTAAAAATTATCCCATTCAAACCACACCTGGATACTCACAGCATTATGGGTAGACTCAGTAAGATGAGATTCTCAGTCTTTATTCTCGGCTCACATTGCTGCCTGTTCTGTATTACACCACTGCAGGAAAGTCCAACAGTCCAGTCATGAGAGGTGAGGGGTGTTAGAAATTATGATTTTTTATAGTTTTTTTTTAAGAGAGAGAGAGAGAGAGAGAGTTTTTAAATATTTATATTTTAGTTTTAGGTGGATACAACATCTTTATTTTTTTATTTTTATGTGGTGCTGAGGATTGAACCCAGCGCCCCATGCATGCCAGGAGAGCACGCTACCGCTTGAGCCACATCCCCAGCCCAAGTTTTTATAGTTTTAATAACAAAAATAATATAGTATTTAACCATCCTTAGGGAACCAATCTTTTAGCTTATTTGATGTAATATGACTAAGGTTAAGTAAGAATTGTTGAACAAAATCAGCATGATATTAATTTGGAGATTACATGTAAATATTAGACTGAGAACCCATAAATTAATTAAAAGAACTATCAATACATGTAGTGGAATCTCTTAAAATAAGTATTATAAAATAATGTCTTTGGTAATTACATAAATACACAAAAAAATTTATGAAGAATGGCCACATTTAAACAGGGGTTATGCTTCTCTTTCATATTAAACTGTACATTTTTACAATTTCCAAGAATTAAATAGAACTATCCAGTAACTCAAATTCTATTTTGATAACAGAGTAATGACAAATAAGACCCAAAATAGCTTTTGAAACACATACAGATGGTAATTTTGTTTAATAGAAGGTTTGGATTTACAATGTCTTTTCTTAAAATTCAAAATGCAAACATGAGGCAATTTAATTATGTTATTCATGGCAGTAAATGCAGAATCAATATCATTAGCAAAGCCACTGTGGAGGTATATTGGGCCAGTTTTGATTATTGTTCCTTAGTCAGCCTCCTGATGAACCAACTTGTTAGTCTCTGTGGGTTTCCCACTTCTCGAGAGAGGTAAGAAGACCACTGGTCACCTCAGGTTTCCAAAATATTTTGCTGTAGGGCAGATCAGACTAGGCCAGAGAACAGCAGGCACTTCTTATACCTCCTAAAAAAAATAGCAAAAGATTTTTGTGAAGGAGATCAGTGCCTTTAGCACACAGTGATCACTATAAAATTGAGTAAGATTCTGGTCTCAAATGCTGACCTTGGAATGAGGAAGAAAAAACTGACCCCATATATTTGGCATATGTTGAAGTTTGAGTGAATAGCTGATCAAAGGAGTAACTCAAGAGAAAAGATAATTACCTGGGAACTACAGTCAAAAGACAAAGGTTTAATTGTCAGATTAGCCACTTACTAATAATACAATCCTGAAGAAATCTCCTGTCTTCTCTAAATAGTAATTTCCTCCCCTATAAAATTAGATTAATGAAACCAATTGTAAAGATGATTTTTTTGAAAAATAAACAAGATAATATCTGACAAATGTTTAATACAAACATAGTAGATGGGAAAAAAAATTGAGGTGAATCCTGAAAACACTGTGTTACATTTTAATATGCTGTTTTACATAGTTGTTTGGGTTGTTTTCTACTTTTATTTTTTCTCTTCTGTTACCTTTTTTTTTCTTTTTGCAGATGACAAAGGACATGCAACAAATGCATCATAAACACAAGCAAATAATCAAGCAAATGCAGGTTATGAGAAAAAAGGAAAAGGTGAATGATGATAAACAATGCCACTACAGAAATGCTATAGTACAGGCTGGGGTTGTGGCTCAGGGGCAGAACGCTTGCCTAGCATGTGTGGGACATTGGGTTCAATTCTCAGCACCACATGAAAGTAAATAAATAAAATAAAAGTGTTGTGTCTATCTGCAACAACAACAAAAAAACCAATTAAAACATTTATTAAAAAATCTATAGTACATAAGTGCTAATAATCTATAGTACATAAGAGCCAACTTATCATGCACTACAACCAATTTTATGTTACAAAGTATAATATGTTTCACAACTGGTCATATGTTACACTTTATTGGGTTTTAATTTGTCAGATATACCTATTGACATATTTAACAAAATCTATGGTTTTTATTATTTAGATAAACATTACCACTGTGTTATGGATCCTCACAAAAAGAGTTTGGGCCTGGTTGTGCTATACAGCAGGTGACCGCTCCCCCTATACAGCTAGTGACCGCTCCCCCTACTGGTCAATTGTGTGGATGCAGCTCTGTCTAGCTTATCAAAGCCTTGAAAGTATCTAGAGCTTGTCAATCTATAGTTGGGAAGACATCTACACACACACACACACACACACACACACACACACATACACATGACCCTACTTATCCACAGCTTCAGTCCTGTCACACATATATAGGCTTGACAAATGTTGAGGATGTGGGAGGTAACATGAAAGGCACCCTCTCAAAATTGTGTATATCAAAACCGCAGACCAAGCATTACCCACATGAATCAGCATCCAAAACTTTATGACTACATTCTAATTTTACAAAAGCACAAAATTTATGATAATAAATAATGTCTATATTAAGGGGAAGTGCAAGTGAATTTTTAGACTTATTTGTTTCTCTCAGACTCTTCTTAATTTCTTGATTTGCTAAATTAATATTTACTCCATGCCTACTCAGGGCCAGGACATATGCCAAATGGTAGGGATACAGCACTGCTGTATACGCAACCAACAAGATCCCGTCTTCACATAGGTAGCATTCTAGTGGGGAGAGGAAAATATTCACATTAGCTCATACTGAGTCTCTGAAGTCTCCAATATACAAAATGTGCCAAATAATCAACAGTATATTTTAATCATTTCCTCAATAAAGTTGAAAATACTGAGTTCTGATTCTTTTCCTCTTGCTTAGACACTGCATTTGGCATATTCCTTAGTACATTTGTAGCTCTATTTCTGGTTTCTTGCCAATGTTCTCAAATGAGTCCAAACATGTTAATAAGTAGAAATATTGTGAAAATCAGATGATGTGATATGAAAAATGTGAAAATCAGTGGTGCTTGCGACATGGAAGTCAGTATGAGATATGCCTATGTGAAAGAACTTATTGCTGGTTTTTGAAGACCTTGATCCTTTTCCAATCACCCAAAATACGAGCCATCTCTATCACTAAATTTATCATTCCCTTCATTTGCAAAGAATTATGGAGTATTACTAAATAAAGTATGAGTTGCAAAATCCCCATGGGCTTGGAAAGAGCAGGAAAGATCATCAAAACAAAAATGCCTATGTACAGACTCCGGCAGGGGCTTGTGTTTAAGGTTACCTTCTGTTAAAGCTCAGTTTTTAAGCTACTCAGATTTTTGAAGCCAAAAGCTAACCTTTTCAAGACTGACTTATGAGCTTTTATTTATTAAATCAAGAACTGTCCACAGTACACTGTTTTGTTACCATTTAGTTTGAAGCAGTTGTTTATTACCTTTGGGCTGAAAAGTAACTTAACACCAATGTTCAAGGTTAGAGGAGGCATGAGATCCAGAGTTACTAGCTGCTCTTGTTCCCATGAAAAAATAGGTGTCTTTGATGGTTACAGCTGTCCTGTCCAAAGAGGGGTCGATTGAGGTTTTATCTTATGGAATGTGCCCAGGCAACAAGCAGCAAGATTTCTGGTTAGTGAAAGCAGTTTTAAGGATGCTCTAAAACTTTCTTCTCCATATATAGAATGACCATGATAGGAAAATGAAGCTAATCAAGAGAATATTTGAAGCATATCATGACCAAACAGTACAGAAAAACAAACACTGCCAAGATACAGTAAAGGTAATGTTGAAATGTATGCTGTCTTCTAGAAAGATAATACTATATAAAATACAAAATAGGCCCACAGAGATGATTACAGCTAGTTAGGAAAATGTTCTGGTTTGGAATGTGTTCCCCAAAAAACTTCATGTGTGAGAAAATTGAAGAAAATTCAGAGACAAAAATGATTAGGTTATGAGAGGTGTCACCTAATCAATGGCTTGGTCCACTTGCATGGATTAACTGAGTGGTACTCTAGCTAGGTGAGGTGTGGGAGGAGGTAAGTCACTGGGTATGCCTTTGAGGTATATATTTTGTCCCTGGTGGGCAGAACTCTTTCTGCTTCTTGTTGCCATGTCCTGAGCTGCTCTTCTCTGCCATGTTTCTCTGACATGGTATTTTGCCTCACCTTGAGCCTAGAGCTATGGAGTTGGCTCTCTGTGGACTTGACCTCTAAAACTGTGAACCAAAATAAACTATTCCTCCTCTAAATATTCTCGTCAGGTCTTTTCATCACAGTGAAAAAAAGTTGACTTAAACAGAAAACAAGGATCTCCCTCTTCATATTGAACTTCATTACTGAGGTATTATTCACGTATTTCTCCTCTGATTCCTTCTGCTTTCTTCATTCTCACCAATGGAAAACAAATGACTCAAAACTATTTGCAACAAGCTTCTTTAAAGTGAGGTTAATATAGGCAAAAGGAAGATGCTAGATGTCTCTTGGATTTCAAGAAACTCATTCTGTAATAATGCATAATGTTTAATATAAATCCATGAAATTATTCCAGCTTTGTCTCTTGCTTGCAAAACACGATCGCTCTGATGATGTATTTATATTTTTAAAAAGTCTGAAACAGGGAGTCCTTGATAATTTATAGAATTCTTTATCTTTTCAAGTGTCATCTTTGCTATTTGGGCTCTTGGAAGAGGACATAAGATCTTCCATAGCCCACACTTTTGAAACCTCTCCACACTCTGAGCCCGGCTCATGTTATAGACATTGAATCCATTCAATAGAAAAAAGAGGGAAGAAATGGGAGATTAGGCCTGGAGGAGGTCAGCCTTGCTAGCTCTCAATAACCTCACCTCAGTCAATATGAGAATTGATGCTCCTTAATTACAATTTTAAATTTGTGATATTTCTTATACAATTAGAAAGTTAACAGTACACCTGATTAAGTAGCAATGTTATTTTTTTCTAGTCACTTTCCAAATTTCAATTTAAGCTATTGAAGCTGTAATAAATTATTAAAAACTTAAGTGACTTAAAACAACAAAACACAAATTTGTTATTTTAGAATTCTGAAGGTCACAAGTCCAAAACTTATAG